ATATATATATATATATATATATATATATATATATATATATATATATATATATATATAAATTATTTGATTAAAATAATAATAATAATTTAAAATAACAGACAATGAAAATTGATTTCTGCAAGTTCCACTGGTGTTCAGGCCCCTGAACTTCATTAAAAGTTTAAAAAATTTTGACTCACTACCTATTTTAGGATTTATTTCTTCTTCTTTCGGCTGTTCCCTTCCTCAGGGCTCGATACAACGAACTAACTCGCAAAAGACTTGGCAATTGTTTCTACGCTGGATGCCCTTCCTGATGCAACCAGAGACCACCCAGCTACCACAGCCGTCTTGTGTGGAGCAGAGCTGCCATCTAGGGCGCCCGGTAGAGCTGTCATTTTTAATTCGAACAAGGAGCCCAGCCCCGCCAGACCCGGATTAAGGCCTGGCCATAATAATGTGCTTAATGTGCGGGCCGGGTCGGGCTTTTGATTGCGTCAGCAGATGCGCACGGCTGTTAATCCAATTATATGGCAACATGGCTTGCCATACATACACCAGCCGCATGCAGCCATTTGACCACGTGCTGACCGGCCTTGAAAGAGGTCAGAAGTTCAGTTCAGCATCAGATGGACTACTGCCAGCGATCCATCAGCCCAAATGGACGTTCACTCAGCCGCTGCACTCAGCGGACACACGTGGCCGACGACTCAAACAGAAAAGATCACAAAATATCTGACATGCCAGAGCAGGGTCCGTGTCTGAATGATGCAGAATGCAGCAGAAGAAGCAGGGATTTAATGCACTTTGACGGACATGAAAGGACAAACACCCCCTCAGCTCCCATCCATTTTCTGCCCCCTGAGCTGTGCGCGTCCGTCCACCGTTAATAACGATATAAGCAGTCAAAGCTTAATTAAAAATGTCGGGGGTGGTCGAACTGACATCTTTGCGATCACAGGCTCACCTTCTCTAACCTCTGACTATTTAGGAATAAAATAGTAAAATCTGCCATAATTAATATTTACTGCACATGTAAATCAGAGGGGTCGTCAATAACACCTGCTCCAAGTACAGAATTATTGTACGCACAGTGCAAGAACTGACTTTTGATAAAAAAACGTTTCTGATAAATAGTTAGTTTTATTTATTTCACTTTAATTATCAGAAATATCTTTATTGTTTAATCTTTATTATTTAATACCTTATCGCATGGTTTTGTATTTCTCGTTTTGTTTTTTTAGCGAGTCCAATTGGTCCTTCTCATCCTGGACATTTCATTGCATTGTTGACCTTGTGTTAACCTGCACATGACAAACAAACAAACAAACAAACATATCATACGTTCAATGTTGTTTTATTTTCTTTTAAAGGACGTTTTCACTCGTTTTCTTTACTGAGAAATGTTTATAGTGACTTTACTTGTGAAATCACATCCTAAACTAGAAAATTTAATTAAAATAAATCGAATAAAAATACATTTAAATTAAATTAACTTAAAAATAGCTACTGTAAGAGTTTTGACTTGGACAGTATTGAAGGAGAGTGGAATGGAACGCTCAGAGCACGTTTCAATTCCATTTGAGAGCAGCTATATACGACACAAACACGAATCAACCACTTCAACAATTACATCTGAAGTGTATTCCTGCTCCAACTGCACAACAGTTTTTCACTAAACTAATTTGACTACAGCGTGACACCGCTGCGAATCAATGCTCACACTATTGTGAGCTCAGAGCGTACTCATTTGAATTTATCTACTCGGTCTAGCACCTACTGCTACAGCATTTCATCATCGTCTTCAGGCCTCAACATGAATCTCGGTGTCTAACTGTCGGGACTCTCCACAGCGCAGGTGCTCAGTCTGTTCTTGGATAGCTGCAGGACAGCATTCAGCTCAGGGGTCTACAATTCTAACTACAGTATTTTCTGGAGTAGAAGTCGCAGTTTTTTTGCGTAGATTTGTCAGTTCAGCAACTTATAAATGTTTTTTTCCCCTCTTCATGATGCTTTTTTTGCCTGATGCGATTTATACTCCAGAAAATACAGCACAAGCTTTTAGGTAATGATAAACCATCGGTTTGTCAATTTATTCAAAAGAAAAAAGGAAAACAAAAACTTTTAGTAATTTCTCACAAGAATTGACATACTTGTAATTTTTGTGTATAGCATTATTTTTCTCACACCGTGTCCTTAAAACAAGTATTTTTTTTCCCCACTTGAATTAACTTTTTATACCTAATGCATCGAAGGCCCCTTCTTTAGAATGGGAGTTTAATCAATGCGCACGGCGTTGGTGGGGATGGGCCATCCTGTGCCGAAGCTTCGGAGCGTGCGTCAAGAAGCCCCGGAGGTGAAGCGAGTACCGCAGCTCGTCTCGTTAAGGGCGAGTGATGTCAGTGATGATGTATGGAGCCTCACTAGTTCAGGAAAGGACTCGAGTTTTGGCGCACTTCGTTAGCTTGTATAAATTAAATGGATCCCTGAAAACCTGTAGAGTTTGTGCTGGGAGTTTCACCACTTTATGACAGAGGAGCTTATTTTCACGGAGCCGGCAAAAAGAAGGATTTCACCTGTGTGGAAACACTTTGAGGAGATTTCTCCCAATATTACACAGAATATTATTTTGTCTGTTGCATACTGAAATGTGTTACAACTATTCTGCAAAAGTCCCTTTTAAAAAGGACTAAAACCTTTTTCGTTCTTCAGTTATTACAATGCTGTTTTTCCTCTTGAGCTTTTATTTGGAGGGCATGTAGAATCACAGGTGTAAAGTGCATTATGAATAGTTTATCACTGTTATTGCTGTTGTTACACTCACATATCAGTTTTTTCCATTTCAAGGTGAGGTGTTTGTGTTTCAACATGCGTCACATTTGTTAAGCAATTATGATAATGATGACATTAACAATACTAGCTTTAACTTATGCACGTCACAAAATGAAAAAACACGAACGGTCATTGCGCATGTTGACGACACAAGTATAATCTCATCTAATGTAATCCCAGTGGGTAGAAAGGAGGTGCTGGATGAGGCTTTGGTCTCCATGATTGTTAGAGACAAACAGCCAGCACAGTCAAAGACAAAAGCTTCAGGGACTTTGTTGCAAAACTGGATCCAACCCATGTTCTCTCTACTAGAAAGGTATGAGTTGGGCATGTTGAAAATATGAAACATTTAAATAAATGAAATCATCATTGTTTTCTTGCTTCCTTTTAGGCTATTAATGCCACAGTTGAAGCCAAATAACAAAAAGTGAAGCAGGCCAAAGCCGAGGTCCTGAAAGTTCCTGCAGTTTGTTTGACAGCAGACGTGGACGATTTCAGAGAGAAGTCGACCGAGTCCAAGCTCAGCAGAATAAATACTTGTCCTTAATAAAAATGAATAAAGTCACCTCGTTTCCAGGATTCATAAGCACACTAACTGTCCCACCACTGCAACATTTTTAATATCTAATGACATCAATTATACATTGCATATTTATGAAAATAAATAAAATGCTTCTATTACCATTAACCCAGAATGCTGCTGAGTCTTAACTGGAATTAGTAAGAGAGATCATGTCTCTCCAGTTTTAGCTTCTCTCCATTGGCTCCCTGTCAAATTCAGAATTGAATTCAAACTCTTATTTGTAACCTACAAAGCCCTCAACATCCTAGCTCCATCTTATATTACAGATCTTATTGTTCCATATTTTCCTAAGTGAGCACTTCGCTCTCAGACTGCAGGTTTACTTGCGGTTCCTAGAGTTTCTAAGAGCAGAATGGGGGGCAGAGCTTTCTGTTGTCAGGCCAGTTTCCGTCCATAAGGCTGACACATTGTCCAGTTTTAAGACCGGACTTAAGACTTTCAATTTTGATAAATCCTCATGGCTTCATCTGGTCATTGCTAGTTATCTACATATACAGACAGAAAACACACCGTGGACCCTTACACACCTTTGAAGATTAAATTTATGTTAGTCAGACCAGAGAACCACAAATTCCATCTTATAGCAGATTACTAATTCAGGAGCTCCTTTCAGACAACACAAAGCTCAGAAAGAAGTGATCATTTAATGGTTCTAGATGCTTAAACAACAAGTAAACTTAGAGACGCATCGACTGAAATCTGGTCTAAAGGTGAAATATTTGACCTAAACTACAGTCAACTAGAGGCCTGCATTTGGTTGTGATTGGCAAGAAAATTGGTACTTGAACATGAGCTCTTTTCTTGTTCTGCTGGACTAACCGGCTACAACGTGTCAAAATGCTCAGCTGCAAGTTCTCTCAGCTAAACCAGATCACATGCTGCAGTTGAGCATTCACACTGGATAAGACGCTGCCCTCAACATTTCTGGGCCCACCAGTGCTCGTATAAATCTGTGCATGTCTTCATATTAATTTAAAACTTTGCACATCATCCCATTATCTTTGACCCACTTCTTCTTTTGCACAGAGGGCAACTCAGTCCATTTCTTCAAAATTTAACAAGATAACCACCTAAAAACATTTATTTGTTTGCTCGACTTTATAGTAAAGGTGTGTCTCACACAGTTGAACTTTTACTTAATAAATGCACTTTAATGGTCAAATCAGCTACATTTCGCCGGGGCAGCGCAGCGAAATGAAGCTGATTCGGTTTCTTCAGGCAGACGACGGTGGCAGTCTGTGGCAAGCCGACTGCGTCATTAATAGCCACTTTTACCTATTGCATGATACAACGGCATGCCTTACTACTCAAGTGCCATCTAGTGGCTGAAAATGATAGGGTTCAAAATTTTCAGTCAGAATGAATGAAAACGATCATATCTCAGACAAAAATTGGTTTATAAATATGGAAAAAATCCATAAATACGTCGCTTCAGCATGTAAGTCACAGGACATGCAAATTTTGCAAAAACTGCACCGTGTACCACAAAAAATATGGTAAGTAGTGTAAGTGTAGTTTATTTTAATGTGTGTGTGTGTGTATATATACA